ATCCTTTTTAAAACAAGCTGATCTCGCACAAGTCTAATTCTACTTCTAATCTGACTAAAACTGGGGGACTTTTTTAGAGGACTTTGTGGTGCTGGGAGAGGAAAAAGGATTTCCCTTTTTAGAAAATCTAATTTACGTGGCAAAATGGCTTCTAAAAAACAGGAAAGCAAGGCAGCAGGGGGGGGATCCCCCCCACACAAGCCTGAAGAGCAGTTTGATTTTGAAAGTTTAAAAAAATTTATCACTCAGGCTTTGGATGATAATTTTCAAAAATCTCAACAGGAAATGGATGATAAATTTCAAAAATCTCAACAGGAAATCAAGCAGGAAATTAGTGAAATGAAAAACTTGGTGAAAGAGAATTATGACAAGGTGACTGATAAATTATCAAATGTGGTTTCTGGCCTGTCAGAAATTATTATTAAAGTGGATTCTAAATTGGAAGAATTTAAATCAGAAGTGAATGTTAAAATAAAGGATACTGATTTTAAAATTTCTGATGTGGATAATAAGATGCAGAGAGTTGAAAACGAAATCACGATGATGCAATTCCGGTCCATGGAATTTGCTATAAGAATTAGAGGTATTAAGGAGAATGATCGGCAAGATTTGAGACAGGTTTGTGCTGATGCCTTGGCTGTGCTGTTAAAAATCAATTCTGATGAGATTTTTTACAAAATAGACAAAATTTACAGAGTGAATTCGTGGGTGGCCAGACAAAGACAATTACCTAGAGATGTGGTGATATACTTCACAGATAAAAGAATGAGAAATGATATTCTGCAAAAATCTTTTCTTTCCTCTGTGCAAGTGGAGGGAACTCAAATTGGAATTTAGAAAGAATTACCGCCAAAGATGTTGAAAGATAGAAAAGATTTTGGTTTTTTAGTAAAGGAATTAAACAAATTAGAGATTCCATTCCGGTGGGATGCCCCAACGGGTATAATCTTGAAGTACCATGGGGAAAGATATCGACTGAATACTGTTGAAAAGGCGGAACATTTTTACTATACTGTTTTTAAGGAGAGATCACCATCTCCACGCTCATCTACTGTATTGGAGATAAAGAAGAGTGATAAGGAGAAGCAACCCCAGCAAGAGTTGGAAGTGCAGCCTAAGCAGGTCGAATTAGATCCAACAGACGCGCAGGGTGCTGTAGGAGGTTTTCTGGAGGAGCCCCTGTTAGAATCTTCTCCAATTTTGACTACAAGAGATGTGGCCTTGGACCTAGCTCGTATGGCTGAAGCTAAAGACCAGCGAATAACTCGTGCAGTTTCTAAACAACTCAAAGAAAAACAATTGAAAGAAAGAGCTAAGGCACAACAACATAAAAAAGGAGCTAAGAGTACTACAGAACATAGTGAAGCCATGGGGAGAGCAAAGTCGATGGCCTCGGAAGACATCCGGCAATTCTGCTCGTCGCTTCAAAAAGGTATACATGATGGTTAAGTTTTTGTCTTGGAATGTGAATGGACTGAACTCACCACAGAAAAGGAAGAAAATATTTACATATTTGCAACAATTTAATAATGATATAATTTGTCTACAAGAAACTCATATTAGAACGCAAGATCAAAAATATTTGATAAATTCAAAATTAGGAACACATTTTATAGCTTCAAACTTGGAAAAAAAGAATGGCGTGGTTATTTATATAAATAAAAGACTATCAGCTAAAATTATAGAAGCGGATGAAGGTGGTAGGTTTGTAGCAATTGAACTGTATACTGTACATGGCCAAATTCTTGTGATTGGAATTTATGCTCCTAACCAACAACAGGATCACTTTTATAAAATTTTGCATACTAAAATACTGCAATGGGATTATAGATCTATTTTGATTATGGGAGACTGGAATGGAGTAATTGATTCTAAACTAGATAAAAAAAGTCTGGCGAAGTCAAGGATTAGACTACCACAAACTTTTTTTGATATGAAAGAAGATTTGGAATTAAAAGATGTCTGGAGAATATATAATTCAAAAGATTTGGACTATACTTTTTTTTCTGATAGACATAGATCCTTTTCAAGGATTGATTTTATTTTATTATCAAATGATTTACTTGTTAAAACAAAAAGAACTAAAATCTTTCCAAGAACTCTATCTGATCATAGCCCAGTATGGATAGAAATTGAGACTGGAAAAATTGAGAGAAGATCATGGAGATTAAATGAAAATTTGTTTAGATATGAAAAAAATATAATAGAACTTAAGAAGCAGATGAAAGAATTTTTTGAAATTAATTTGAACAAGGGTACCCCTATTGAAATTGTGTGGGATGAGAGTAAAGCATATATGAGAGGGGTACTCATTCACATGAACTCTAAACATAAATTGAACAGACAAAAGAAAAGATCCGAAATTGAAGCAGAAATAAAGAAAAAAGAACAGTTACTTATCAAAAATCCAACAGATGAAAGAATACGTGGTGCTATAAAACTTTTGAAAGATCAATTCCAAATGCTTATGGCGGATCAAGTTGCAACAAATTTACAATATGCAAAGCATAATACATTTTGTAATGCCAATAAACCGGGCAAATGGCTGGCCTATACATTAAGGAAGAAGCAGAGTATGCGGACTATCGACTGTATTGATATTGGAGGGAAAGAAATTTATCAACAAAAATTAATTAAAGAAGTTTTTGTAGATTATTATACTAAACTATATGCTAAAGATGACATACAGAATGGACTTATAGAAAAATATTTAGAAAATAAAAGAGTTACAAAAGTTACTAACCAACAAAAGGAAAGAATGAATTACCCTATAACAGTTGAGGAAATAATTGCAGCAATTAAACAACTGAAAACAGCCAAAGCTCCGGGAACGGATGGCTTGACTGCAGTGTATTATAAAACTTTGCAAGCAGAAATGGTGGAACAACTTAGAGACTTATTTTGTAACATACAACAAGGGGGTAAAATACCCTCATCATGGAAAACAGCTTTTATTTCTTTGATACCAAAAGAGCAAGCAGGTCCTAAAAAACTGGAGAACTATAGACCAATATCTCTTCTGAATAATGATTATAAAATTTATGCAAAAGTACTAGCCAACAGGTTGATCCCAGTAATTCAAGAGTATTAAGTCTTCTTGAGTAATCAAAGCTCCCCCTTGAGCCTGTGCCAACAATTCTTCCTTCTCCCCCTTTCTTGCCCCCTTTTCTGCTTCCATCTTCCTTCTAGCTTCTGGGGACTGTGGGCGTCCAGCCTTTAGTACATTGGTGTAGAAATCTCTTGCCTTCCACACTGAGTTAAGACGATGTCTTTCTCCTGAATAATTCACCACTAGTCCAGCTGGAACCTCCCATCTGTACTGTATCTGACGGTTTCTCAGTTCTTCAACCAGAAGCCATAATCCCTTCTGGCTCTCAACATTTTGGGGGGGATTTCTTTCAGTATTAAAACCTCCTGCCCCTGCACTTGAAGTTTATTCTTAAAAGTGACTTGTAAGATTTCATTGCGTATTCTCCTTGTTGTAAAATAAACTACAATGTCTCTTGGTAGATGTTTCTGTCTGGCAACCCATGAATTGACACGGTAAATTTTGTCAATTTGCCATTCAAGATTTGCTTTTTGGTCTCCCATTATCTGTGCAAATGCTTCTGAAAAAATCTCTCTCAAATTCTCTTGCTTATTTTCTTTGAGGCCTCTTATTCTCAAAGCAAATTCCATATCTCTATATTGTATCATTATCACATCGGCCTCTGCTCTTTCCATCTTATTCTGGACCTCCCCCATTTTATTTTCCAGGTTCTCATTAGACTGCTTAATTTCTTCCACATTTTTATCTATTGCTTCAATATGGCCTGCCAGACCTTGTACTGCCATGATAATATCTTCTCTAATTTCTTGATTTCGTTTTTGAATAATCTCTTTAATTTGTACTATCTCCTCAGCAACATCTCAAATTTTATCCTCAAACATTGAAGCAATCTTTTTTTCTGTAACAGCGGCTTGTATTTTAAGGCTTCCTGCAACATTTCAAATGTTAATATTGGTGGTTCCGTTGGAACTGAGAGAGATTGCAATTTGGATGTTTGAGCTGGCGAGGTCCCAGCACTTTTAGTGACAATAGTCTTTACTTGTTTTGAAGCCATGTTTAGTTTCCAATTTAAATTTATTTAGCAGCCAGAACAACAAATCCACCAAATCCAAAAATTCCCAGTCTTTAAATAATATCAATCCTTTTTTAAAAAAATCACTGCTGTAGTCTTTTTAGTCTTTAATCTTTTTTTTTTTTGAAGCAAAAATCTCTAATTTTGAACAGGGGCTACCAACGCTAAATGAAACTTTCCTCTTTAACTTTCGCTTTCACGCCCCATTAAAGCTCAATCGCCATCTTGGTTTCACTTTCTCCCCTTAATGAGTCAGAAGGAAGTAATACACATTTGGAGTTAAAGTTCAGTACTTGCAAATCTGATCTCTCCTGAGTTTGTTCAGCCTGCTCCCGAATGATGCTTATTCCAAGCGTTGTTTGCAGGGGTGGTTGCGGCAGCGTCTTCTGCTTAAAGCAGAAACATCCCGGATCCAGAGCTCTGTCGGGCTTCCAGGGAGCTCTCACCCTTCAAGCCCCAGAATTGTTCCTGGGGCTTCTTGGGGAGCTCTACCTGCACCCGTCTGCTCTCTTCCTCCCCTTTTCCCGGGGAGAAAGTTTCCAAGCCGCTAGACAGCTGATTTTCGCTGTTCTAGTGGCTTTACGAGATCGCGGGGCTGGCGCTCACAAAAGGAGCGTCTTCAGCGCCTGTGGTGCCACCGGAAGTCCCTTTGTTTTCTATTTTCTGTAGCAAATCTGGGGCCATCCAAAAGCTGGGGGCTGTGAACTGGGGCGATGGGGTGCGGAAGGTACTCCTGGGGGGCAGGGAGAGCCTTTCACAGGCTGGAGTCAGTCCTCTAGCCACAACACTATGCTGAAGAGCTGCTGTGCCTCTAAATCCTTGGCCAGAGGGGGTGTTGTCGGTAACCTCACCCTTTGCATGTTTTGTGTGTTCCTTTAGGTCAACGGCACCGACGCGGAGTATGAATATGAAGAAATCACGCTGGAAAGGGTAAATATCTGCTCTTTAATCCATTGAGTGAATTCATTCATTCTGCTGTAAGTTAGAATTCAGCAGGCCCGGGCAGGGAGGAAATGCCTCCTTCCCCCGTTTCTCCTTCTCAGTGGCTCCTGCTGGTCTTCCCCACTCAGTGGTGCTCAGTGCTCCATTCTGCTGGTTCCATGCTCAGGTTTTCTGCCTTCCTTAACCTAGTTAATCTGGGCATTCCAAAGCTAGAATGGGATCTTTGATTACCTATTGGCATAGGTTAGCTGGCTGTCAACCAGCTCCTCTTGAATGGTCGGTTCAAACCAGCCTGCAGGATTTGATTGCCAAGGGAAGCTGTGCTCCCCATTTCCTGGCTGGCAAATCCAACCTGCCCCCCAGCTTTTTAAGCAACATCCCCAGGGTTATATCAACCGAGGTTGGAGCAACCCGAGGTTGGAGCAACACCTTTCCAGCCCCATTTCCCCAGGTTCAGCCTACCCAGCCATGCGCTTGTGAGTTCCTGGGGGGGGGGGATCTTTAGGCCTCTTTCTTGATGAGAAGGCAGGCAGTGGGGGGTTTTCCATGTTGAGGCAGAACCAGCAGGGCAAGACTGGTGTGGGTGCCAGTTCTCTTGCCAGCTGAGGGGGGCTCCTGAGGTGCGTGGTTTCTCACGGGATCAGGGCCTTCCTTCTGCCCTTCCCTCAGACCCTCCCGGGCCTTCTCACTTCAGGATGAGCCCTTGGTCACCCAGGTGCTCCAGGGCAGTAACCGTGGGCTGCTTTTTCAGGGCAATTCTGGGCTGGGATTTAGCATCGCAGGAGGAACGGACAACCCTCATGTGGAGGACGACTCCGGTGTGTTCATTACGAAGATCATCCCAGGAGGGGCGGCTGCCCAAGACGGGAGGCTGCGGTAGGTCACCCACCTCCCCCTCCCCCCAGGCCGTTGCTGTCAGGTGTGCAGAACCTACAAGCTATAGCTGGGGGTGGGGTGGGGGCTCTGCCTACCTCAGTTGCATCTTGATTGCCATTCGTCTCTGACGGGTTGCGTTCATACAACGTATTAAACCTGGTTAGTGAATTAACCCCCATTTTTCTGGATTTGCCCAGTAATTACGCTGCTGTGTTCACCCAGCATCGTAGAGGGTATCAGTGGGAGCGTAGACATTAAAATCCCTAGACCAAATCAAGGGGGAGGAGGGTAGGATATCCAGTTTGGTTTTGGAAACCTGCAGTTCTTCTAGCCAGACTATCCCACGGCTTCACGGCTGTTATTGTTAGGAAGTTCTTAGCTGCTTGAGACCTTTTCTAGAAATCAAATCCATTGGTCCTTGACCTACTGCTGTCGGTTTCAGGGGAACAGTTCCACCCTCATTTCACACAGGGCTACTGTCACCTCTCTCCCTAGCCTTCTTTGTGACAAGCTCATCTGCGCAGAAACGCAGTGGCTTCCGTTGTTCTGCGTAAGGAGTCTGGGAACCCTCCCAGACGCTCTCCTCTGAGCCTGCTCTGGTTTCTTCGCCTTTCCCAGCACGAAGCCGAGGACCCCAGGCACCCCCTGAGCAGCCACAGAGCTCTCTGGAAGTCTGGATGCAGTTCTCCTATTAATGCAGCCCCTACCCAGTTAAAACGCCTGCCTTGAATTGACCTCAGGGCGATTGTTCTCTAGCCAGTTTTCCTAGCTTGGTGTCATTTGCAGGCCTGGTAAGCCTCCTTTCTGTCCCTTTTCTGACAATGTTGGGTAGCCCTTGGCTGAAGAGCGAGCCCGTAGTACCCCCCACCCCCAAGAATGGAGACGAACCAACTGTATGTGGTAACCTGCTTGCAAAAAGAAAGCAGTTTTGCTAGCCCTTGTGTATCTGTCTTGGGGGGGGGAGACGGGGGGCAGCTAAGTTTTCCAACTCAAGAAGCCAGAAATCTTCCCATTGGAAGTACAAAATTAATTCTTCACAAGAATCTTTTTCCACTGCCCATCCTGATTCCATCCTAGGAAAACTTTTTCTACATAAAATAGTACAACCGAGTAGAAAAGTGGATGGGGAGGAGATAATGTATATTCAGAACGAATACAGAAATCACCTGATAAAGAGGGTACGCAATGTGTCAACTTCTTTTATGGATTATTTTTCCCCATGCAATGCAGTTGTCACTGGACTAAACCTGCCTTGCTGTTCTCATTTTATTTTCTTTATTTCTGGAAAAGGGAAGCTGCACTAGAGTTCTCTAGCAAAAAGGATTCAGGCTCTGGAGCCTGGCTCCCTTTGAAAGGCTGTCTTAGTGGCTGTTTGGAACCGACGTTATTAGGTTTTTCAGTTATCTTGATTATTCGGGGAAAAAGGCACGGGGAGGGCAGGCTAAGAGCGGTAGGCGAAGGCTCCAAGAAAAGAGGTTGAGCTCAGAGGGGCTTCTCCCCTTTGCCAGCTGTGGGTAGTGGAAGGAATTTCCTTTGCTGGGCCTTTCACTGAGCAGCAGGTTGGATTTGAGGACCTTCCCAATTCTTTGATTCTTTGCAAAAGGGACACCAAACTTGATGGCCCTTCAGAGACTCACAGCGCTCGGCAGTAGTTTCTGTAGGGCGGGCTTATCCCTTGACCAGGTTGGCTGGGCTCAAGCGCGTCTATGCAAGCACAACCCCCCCCCAATTCAGTTTATCCAGTTACTGTGGGCTGGGGAGGTTGTACGCAAAGAATTCCTCTCCCGGGGTCCTGGGGATTGAGTGGGTGTCGTGAAGCCAATGCCAGATTACCATGGGGAGGGGGTTCATTTGGGAAGGACCTTGGCGAGATTGTGATGGGAGGGATGTGATCGTAGCTTCGTTGAGTGCCGGGGAAGAAGCGTTTTGCGCGGCCCCTCTTTCCGCTGCAGCAGGTCACAGAGGAGCGGTTGGGTATCTCCTCTGTCAAGCCCCTAGGGAACCCATCAGCAAACAAACACACGGGAAACCGTGTCAGTGCAAGATAATAAGTTTATTGTGCATTTTGTGATTTACAGAAATGGTACAATGAAGCAGGTGGGATGAAAGTATGGCAGTTTTTCATGAGAGCCGAATTTGGCGGGCAGGGGTCCTTCTAGGCTCCTGACTGAGGGGCCGGGGTCTGCCATGGTTGCCAGGGTCTTTGCACAGCTTCATGTGGTGAGGTCTAGAACAGGGGTGTCGAACTCAAGGATCTGGCCCGCAGGGTGCTTAGTTCTGGCCCGTGGGGCCACCTTGGAAACAGTGAAAGGACCGGCCCGCAGTGCATCTGCCAGCGAAAACGAAGCTTGGGAGGGTTGCACGTGGCCTCCCCAAGCTCCATTTTCGCTGGCAGAGGGTTGCAGGAGGCTGGAAATGGAACTTGGGAGACCATTTTCACTGGCAGAGCACTTGGGCCACCACAGGCGCCCCAACCCGAGTGATGTTAAACTGGGCACACCTACCCTGGCCCCCCGAAGTCAAACACAACCCGGATGTGGCCCTCAATGAAAATCGAGTTTGACACCCCTAGTCTAGAACAACTCGCTGTGGCCAACTCACTGCGGGACAATGCAACACTGTGTTGATCTTTTCATCCAGTTACATTTATTATTGCTGCCATATATTTCAAGAAATGTCTCATAGTGAAATGAGGCAGTATTCGCATGTGAAGGAGATCTTAAAAGTTATTTAGTCCATACTGATGGCCAAAGGAAGCGCCCTGCTATGGGCATTAGGCGGGCATTCAGCTTGATTTATTAATTTTCATAAACATCTGTCACCTTTATCTGGTTTTTAAATTTTTGTATTTATGTATTTTATTGTTGGCTGTTCACCGCCCTGAGTCCTTCGGGAGTAGGGCGGTATACAAATCAAATAAACCATAAACCAATAAACCAAACCTCTTTTGGTTGCTCAGAAATGTGCTCCAATTTCAGGCCATCCTCAGGTTCTTCCTTGAGATTTGCTGGAGTCTCTTGGTAATTTGAAAAGCTCCGGTGGCAGCCCCATTGCTTGAGCAGCTTCCTCCAAGTGCTTTGGCCATTCCTGGCTGAGCTTCCCTGCATTGTGGCTGTCCTTTGTTCCTTGTCTTCCCTCTTCCCCACTGATTGGGGGTGGGGGAAAGCCCCCAAAGGGGAGACAATGGAGAAAGGAAGCAGGCAGCCCTAGAAGAGCAGGGAGGAAAGATGAGGGCAGTCCTGGGAGAACGCAGACAGAGGTCACTCCAGCTGGACCAGGGAGGGAGTCTGGCTGCATGTACGGCAAGCAGCTCGGGCAGTCTTCCTCCAAAGAAAGAGGGCGAAGGTGGGGTTGTTGTGTTCCTCAGAGTGCTGCTTTGCTCCGTGTTTGATCTGCCTCCAGTCAGTCAGAGCATTCAGATCTGTGCCTGGGAGATCTGTTTTCGCTCACATGCGTGCACAAGCCGAATGTTGGAAACCTCCCCTCTCCCCAACGCAGGGTGAATGACTGCATTTTGCGTGTGAACGAGGTAGACGTCCGCGATGTGACCCACGGCAAAGCTGTGGAAGCCTTGAAGGAGGCGGGCTCCATGGTCCGTCTGTCCGTCAAGAGGAGGAGGCAAACCACGGAAAGAATGGTGGATATAAAGCTGGTGAAAGGGCCCAAAGGTTTGTCAGCAGCTCTGGGTGATCCCCCCCCCCCCAGCAAAGAGGGTCTCCTCTTCCCCGCCCTGCAGAAAATGCCCTTTCCTGGAGGTGGAAGGGCATCCGGGCTGAGTCCCAACTTTGCCAGCGTCTCCGCCTGAGCGTGAACAGAGCCTGGTTTAGCTCAACAGACAGAGGCACTGTAATTTAACACCAGCTGTCTGCAATTAAAGTAAGATCGAATCTCGCCAGGCTCAAGGTTGACTCAGCCTTCCATCCTTTCTAAGGTAGGTAAATTGAGGACCCAGTTTGTGGGGGCAATAAGCTGACTTTGTATAAAATATACAAAAGGATGAAGGCTATTGCTTAACGCACTGTAAGCCGCCCTGAGTCTCCGGAGAAGGGCGGCATATATATAAATAAATAAATAAATAAATAAAAAAAAAAAAAAAACCAAGGCAGAACTGTTGGGATCCACTCTGGAGTGACCCTTGGAGAGCCTCTCAGCGGATTCCCTTCTGTCCCAGGGAGGATCCTGGGCCGCATGGTTTGTGGGTTGATTCTGATGGCCTTCATTCTCCTGAAGCAGGTCTTGGGTTCAGCATCGCTGGGGGTGTCGGCAACCAGCACATCCCTGGAGACAACAGCATCTACGTCACTAAAATTATTGAAGGTGGAGCTGCACATAAGGACGGACGGCTCCAGATCGGAGACAAGTTGATGGCTGTGAGTTTAAATTTGTTCTGGCTTTTTTCATTCTTCCTTTGGGCAGTTCTGTCCTCTTTTAGCTTTGCTAGGGCACTCTGGGGCCCGTCTGACAACACCAGAAGAGTCTCAGGCTGAGGTGAAGGTTTGGAGGTGAGTTGGCCTTCGGTTCCTCTTAGAGAAAGCTGGGATGCCATATGGTCTCACTGGTGTTCCTAGAGCAGGAAGGAGTCTGAACAGGTTTTATAAGAAAGAAAATTGGCTTTGCATATCTCGTTGGAAGTCACCCAGAGCCACTTTGCAGGGGAGAGGGGTGGCATAAAAATTTAATAAATAAGTAAAACAATAAATAAAACCAGTATTAGAACTGGGCCATACGAATTATATAAGTCTGGAATTTATGAGGTCAGCCACAGTTATTTGTAATTCTTGAAGCTTTGAGATCTGAACTCCTGAAATATGTTGAGCCGGATGAAACCCACCGCTGGGCTTTGGTCTTTGCAGTGACCCTCAGAACAGGCCTCTTGCCTGGCAGTTGCCCTTTAGGGAAGGCCAGATGGGCTCCCAACCACCCCCTGCCTTTCGCCAGCTCTGAAGATGCGGCTGCGTTCCTGGGCAAGGGCAGTTGGAGCGTCAGCATGTTTATCTCAGCTGCTGGATATGCATGTTGTTGTTAGCCCAGAGTCACTATGATGAAACAGGGGGCCACGTAAATGGAATAAAAAACTAAGTTGTCATTACGTTGACTTATTTGCCTCCTCTCAGGAAAGTTCTATGAAGGAGCTCAAAACCCTATCAAGGCAGCTTCAAAAAGACTAAAAGCACCATTGGCATAAAGTGAAAAGCCAAGTGCGAACCGCAGAACCGGAGTCTGCCAAATCCCAAAACGTTTCCACAGGCTGAGAAACCATCTGGCACCCTAGAGGGATCTTACCACGTGACCCCCTTGCACTTGGAGAGTGATATTCCTGTTAACATTTACAGGCTGTCATAAAAGGCTGTTTCGTTTGCATGGCTGATTTTAAGTGGGTGCCCATGTCCTCTTAAGACAAGGCCGGTTGGAATACCAAGTAGTGTGGGTCAAAAGGACCCCCAGCCAATAACCAAGGCCTCCCAAGTTAATGCCAAATCCAGAACCCCCAAATTCCATGTTTCACCCTTGCAAGAGTGCACTCCCTCTGCCTTGCCTCCTTCCTCTGTTCCTGAATCCCCCCCCCCCACACCTCCATTTGAGGACTTGGAAGCCCCCCCTCCCTTCCCGCCCGGCACAATCCATTCTAGATGAGGGACAGAGCAGAGAGTCATCAGCCTATTGATGCTATTTCAGCTCCGTTGTCTATATAGTTTTCTCCGATGGTTTCATAGAATTTTAGGATTAAGACGGATTTTTTAGGCCGTTGAGTCTAACCCCTTGCGCTCATACACAAATCTATATGCTGATCGCCTGTCCTTCCCTTCTCATCGCTGCTTCAAATTTGATATCTAGCTCTAGGCTTGAGATGAATGTGATCAAGACAAAATAAAGTGGAATAATTACTTTTGGAAATCATGCCTCTATTTTTGCATTCTAAATTTGCATTTGCCTTTCCAGCAGTTTCATCACACAGCTGACTTACACTCAGTTCTCAGGCAACTGCTGTGTACCAACAATTTTTTCACAAATATTGTTGCCAAAGCTGCATCCTGTATTTATGGATTTGATTTTGCTTGCTGGGAAACTTTGCATTGGTCTCTTACACCCACTTCTCTGCGCAAGAACTATGTTGCTGGGCCAGGTCAGGGCCCATTTTATTCCAGATGACGTAGGTTTCTCAGCCAGGAGCCAGAGACGTACCCCTCCCCCACCTTTCCTCTGCAAGGGGTGTCTGGAGGCCTCCGGCTCCCAGTAACAGTGAACCCTCAAAATCATGGCATTCGATAGAGCCTTTGGAGTGCCCTTTTCAAGCCACCCAAGTTAGTCACTATCACTGTGTCTTTTGCATTGTATTTAAAGGTAGACCTCACTTATTGACCCCTTGTTCAATGACCAAAGTTACAATAATGCTGGGAAAAAAATGACTTTATGGCCAATTTACATCCATTTGCGACATTCAAGCATCCCTCAGTCACATGGTCATTGTTATAGTGAGTATGCATTGTCTTGTGCCTGACTTGTGTTGTTTTTATTCTCCCCCCATTGCAAACCAGAGATCGGAGAGGAAGGGATTGCAAGAGAGTAACTTTTTGATCTTCTACACGTTAAGAGCAATATAATTACACTGGCAGCCTGAGGCTACATACTATGGGCACATGATACACACAGTTTACATTGCTATCTTGAAATCTCTTCCTGTCCAATCTTTGCTCTGTGACCGGGGGTGGGGGGGGAGAAAAAAAGCAAGCGGTTTCTGTAGGCAGTTTCTCCTTTGCCTGATCCTTTGCTAATACCAGCATGATCATGTTGTTTTTGATGTGTAGACTCTTGAAATCCCTTCCTCTCTGATCTTGCTTTGCAGAGGGAGAAGGGTCTAGGATAACTCACCATGGCCAACTTGCCGCTGGACAAGAGTTACACTAATATTGAAGAAATGGTGGAATAGAATCTTTAAAGAAAGGATGCCAAAAGAGGGACAAATGAAATGTGAATGACAAAAATTTAAATAATGTTTTATTTATTTTAAATAATTAAATTGAATTGTTGAATTGTCCCATGGCGAGTTATCCTGCGGAAAGTTGGCTGTGGTGAGTTGGCCGCTGTGAATTGACCATGGCAAGATGGCTGTGGGGAGTTGGCTATGGCAAGTTGTCCCATTTTAGTGGGAGCAGACGGGTCAGGCAAAGGAGAAATGGTGTACTGAGATTGCTTGCTTCACCCTCTCCACCCACAGAGTAGAGAGATTGAAGGAATTTCATGGGAGTAAGTTGTTTGTGTAATGTCATCCCCCCACTTGCTGGTGCAATTGTGCTGTGTTTGAAGTATACAAGACAGCAAGACATCAATTCCAAAGGGCAGAGGAGTCTTTGGAAAGCAGACAAAAGCTGAATGTGTGAAACGGAAGAGTCTTGTGTCTCCAAATGTGGCTGTGTGTGTAAATTTTTTTGTAAAGAATTTTGATTGTAATAGTAAAATTTAATACAAACTAAATTTAAAAGAGAATAGAGACAAGGAGTAAGGTGCAAGGAGACAAGGAGTAAGGTGCAAGGAAGAAGAAAAAGAAAAGAATATAATAAAAAAATACATAAAGAAGTGACTTCATTCCAAGAAGTATAAATAAATTCATTTAACTCTTCATCTCCTATAAATTTACAAATATTTATTTCTTCATCCCATATGCCATTTCTTATCTATAAGCAAATCCATGAAACGTTTTTTTCCAGTCTTGGTGTCAACAGAAAGTCTATAAAGGTAGCAAGAGATAATAACATATGTTGTTTTAACTTTGATCAAATAAACCAATTTTATATTTCTTCATTTTATTGCTTTCCTTCATATCCTTCAAAAATTGTCATAGGATTTGATTTCACTTCACCGTGTTCTCATTACACACACTTTTTCAAGACTTTAATAAGCCTCTCTTGTAAATCCAATAGGAAAAAAATTAGCTAGGTCACTCTCCTGTTTTGTCTGAGCGGCTGTGAGTTCGATCCTAGATAGTGGCAGATTTTTCTTTCTTTGGGTGCAAAGAGAAAATACTTGCTGTGAGCTCTGTAGGTGTCAGGAAGGGCATCCGGTCAGTAAACTCTCAGCTCCATTCAGTTGCCACAACTCCACCCCGATGCAAGGGATTACAGGGTCATTAAAAGAAAGAAACTTTCTTGGTTTGTTGTTTGTTTTTCTCTTTAAAATTTTAAAGCATCAGCCAGTTTCTTTTGTAGACCCAGTGAAATATCCTTTTCTAAATTATTCTCTTGGACTCTCAATTATAAATCCCCTTTTGATACCATTTCTATCTTGTCAGATATAACTTATTCTACTGTTGACATTACGTCAATAGCATCTTTTGGGCACAGTCTGTTCATAGAAATGGACATCACTACTGATATTGTTGATATTGTGGCTGTTTCTGATTCCATTCTTCAAAAGTCGTCTTCTATATTTTTATTCTCATAATGTTTTGCATCAGTCATAGCAGCAGACTTTCTGCTTGTGCCAATGTGGTTCCTTGTCTTGTGATACAGAACAGCACCGGTGATTCTCAGAGAAGATCTGTTTTCTTCCAGGGATAAGTTCCTTTTGCATCTTCCCTCTTCCAGGTGAACCATGTTTGCTTAGAAGAAGTGACCCACGAAGAAGCAGTGGCTGCTTTAAAGAACACGTCTGATTTTGTCTATCTGAAACTTGCAAAGCCCAGCAGCATGTTCATAAATGATGCTTATGCACCTCCTGAGATCACTGGCTGTAAGTTTGAATTTGAGATGGCTGTTTTTTATTAGAAAAGAATTAGCTAAAAGCATCTTTTCTCTCCTTGTCCTTTGTTGACATTTTGTTATGTGTGCCAACAATTTTCTGTTTTGAACATTTTATTAGATTATAGAATAAAATACAAAAATACAAAAGCAAATAGGAAGACACAGTGGGGAGAGGAGGAGGGGAAAGAAACAGTGAGGGGGAGGGGAAAGAAAAAAAAGCTTTGACTTCCAACTCCCTCTGTTGCAATAGAATAAAGCATTAACATCGAACCACTCAACTTTTTACTTTTCCGTAATAATATAAAGTAGCCATTTCTATAACTCTGTGCCAACAATTTTCATGTAAGAATAAATAGCATTTTTATTTCTGTTGCCCCAGTGTCTAGCAAAACCATACATAATGTTGCTAAGATACAGTAATTGAAGAGAAAGGAGGGAAAAGATCTTTGCATGGGTTCTTGAGCCAAAGGATGGCAAACAGATGGAGAATGATTCTGGCCACTTTTGCAAACCTCTAGGAAAATCTGCAGGTGCAGGAAGGGAAGATTGGCTGGATAGAAGTGCATCCTTACGAAGGGTGGGAGATGTCCTTAACTCTCAAAATGGCATAATTATGACTTTTAATCCAGAAATTTTCTGAGATTTACATATTCATTGGCATCCTTCAATCTCAAGAGACTATGGTATCGTGCTCTGGAAAGAGGTCCTAAAACAGCATCTGGTGTGACTAAAAAGGCCGATTCGAGAATGGCCATCCCTTCCACACTGAGGGCAGATACATTCCGTCCCCTGCCCAGCCCCCAGATTTCGCTGGTTCTGGGACTGCCTCTTTGCCTCAGCCTGCCGAACAAGTGTCTCTTCGAATTGGAGAAGGCCATGCTGCGTCTTTAGCCTCCAAGCTGAACGATTGGAGGTCAAGTTTTCCCAGTTGTTAATGTCCATTCCCAGCGCCTTTAGGTCCCTCTTGCAGATATCCTTATATCACAGCTGTGGTCTCCCTCTGAGGCGCTTTCCCCTCAGGGAAAGAGATTTAAATAATTTGTTTAACATAATTCAAAACCTTCCCCATTCCTAAGGGCTCTGAGTGATCAACAACAGAGAATAAAAATTACATAACAAAAATTAGTGCGGAGGCCACGTTCAGTTTAGGGCCCTCTCTAAACATGAACAGTCCTTCCCCCCACTTCTGACGGGATGGTCCCGCTGTGCGTCTGTGCTGCGGGAGGTCTTCGAGGTCACAATCGGGACTTTGAATTGCGCCTGGATTCCTATTGGTGACCACTAGGTATGGGTCACTAGTATGGGTAGTCCTCACTTACTGACTTCAGTGACGGTTTGAAGTTACAACAGTGCTAAATATAGCAGATTTATGGCCAGCCCTTGAAGTCGTGGCTGTTGCAGCTTCCCTGCAGTCACATCATAGAAATTTGGGCACTTGGCAACCAATGTGCACCTTCACAATAGTCACAATCCTGCCCCACCGTGATTGCCATTTGTGGCCTTTAAGCCACCTTCCGACAAGCAAAGTCAATGAAGAGCCTGGCATGAAGTTGCAAGTCGCAGTCATGTGACATTCTGCTTAATGACCATGAGTAGTTCATTTAAGGACTGCAGCTGTAACTGCCGTCGTAAGTTGGGTGCTGTTGAGCGATTTTTCCATTTACAACCACATTGCTTAATGAGAGTTGCCAGTTCTAGTCATAGTCAGAAAGTGAGGACTACCTGGAACTTTAAAATTGGTGTTGTTTTCTACTGATGAGATTGCGCCAGCTGTAATTCTGGGGTCATTCTCAAAGGCAGCCCCATGTAAAACTCATAACATTAATCGAGTGGTGGTCGAGACGTGAGTTAACATTGCAGTTACTTCCCTTTGGTGTTTTTTTCTTTTTCCTCTTCCATCCATGAGCTCCTTGAACCCGTGGCCTGGTCCTCAGAGCACTTTCTGAAACAGTTTCATCCTCCTCATGCTGTCCAGCACTTGTTAGCTTTCTCCTGAGGGCCTATTTAAAAAATGCTTTGCCCCCATTTTGAGATTCTTCACCAGGATCTGCAGGTTCAGCTTCTCTTCCAAAGTTTCCCACAGTCAAACAAATTAAAATACCACTGTCGGGTGTGTGTGTGTGGCTTCAGTTGGCAAATACGCTGTATGTAGATGGAGTGACTGCCAGTCCCAGCAGAGTCTGTGCTTGGCACTCTGAGGTTAGGCAACCCAGCTCCCTGTATGGGATCAGGCGGCCAATGCTGGGCTGCCTTCATGGCTGCCTAAATGCGGATGACGAAAGGGTTAAAGAAGGGCAGCAGAGTGGCTGGGAAAGAGAAAGGGCATTCTCCTCTTTCATTCCACCCGCACCCCTCTACCTGTATGTCAGGTGGTAGCAGGTGGGCCTAGGTGATATGCCCTGACATCAAGGGAGACGTGGCAGGTCAGAACTTACCTATCCAGGTGCTTAGCAGTGGCTCCTTATTGGGTTGGGGACAGGGGGTCCCCCAAGGTTCGTTCTAGCGCCTCCCAGTCATCTGGTCTGGAGGTCGAAGTGCAGCTAAGAAGGCCACTCTTTTCATTTGGCATCAGTAGCTTAGAGGTGCCAGGCAGGTGAAGGGGCAGCTGCCAATTGGCCCGGGGCAGCAGAGGGCACCTTCTTCTGAATGACCTTCCCTCTCCCCCTCCCAGCTTACTCTCAGCCTGCAGAGAACCACGTCAACCCATCAAGTTACCTGGGCCAGCCTTTGCCACCAGCCTCCCCAGGGAGATACTCACCTGTTCCTAAGGCAATGCTGGGAGAAGACAAGATCACCAGGTAGGAAGTGTCTGTGCCTTTGCAACCACTTCTGCAATATGTCACCGGATGTGGCTGAGCAGTTGGGGGGCGGGGGAGGGTGGGGTGGGGGGGAATGGAGAAGTTCCTGAAAGAGAATAGCTGAAACAGGGCACCCCGAAGGGCAGGAGGCGCCTGGTTGAGAGCGGGTGTCTGTGGGGCCGTTCACTGCCCGGAAGGAAGGCTCTCATTAGGCCGGCTGAAACTTTGCACGGTAGCTCCCACCTCCAAGAAGAAATATTCTGTCGGTGGATGGCAGGCAGTCCTTATGACCGTAAGTTTCTAGAAGGAGTGCTCACGGCCGGAACAGCACTTCCAGCTGTGTCACGGCTGCGTTTCCAATGCTTGGCAGCTGGGCTCACGTTTATGACTTGTCGCAGTGTGGTGCAGCTGTGCGTGATTTGCAACATTTCCTCCTCTCCTCCCTCCCTCCTCCTCTGCCAGTTTCCAGAGAACGGATTCAGTTTTAGAACTATATGAGTTGCTTAAGGGTTGTATGATTGGGACTGAAAACTATGTGATTCATTTAATGACTGCAGTAAAATAGTCATAAATCACATCTGGTTACGTGGGTGCCTTGACTTACCACTGTCATGATTTAACAACTGAAACAAAGGTGGCCATAGGTTGAGGACTACCCATAATGAAGTGCTGTTCCTGTGGAGTTTTTGCTCTTCTCGGGGCCCTGGCAGTTCTTCCTTCTTCCTCTTGGCTGGATTGACTGTGAGGCCTGTCACTTGAGGAAAGGGGGATGCCCAGAGATGTGCAGTGATCAGTTGAGCCCTGGACAGCAGGAGCATCTGTGCTGTGCATCTTGACAGCGTCTTTCAAGGAAGATTGGGTGCAGAACGCCTCCCTCTGCCCTGCAACCCCAGCAGCTCTGGGGGGGCACTGACTAGCGAGCCCCCAGCAGCCTCCAGTGGGGCGCTGACTAGCGTGGTTTTGGGGCTAGTGGCGGAAGTGGGAAGGGAGAGCCAGGATCAGTCAGCAGCCCGGATGGGAAATCCAGGTGGCTTGGCGGAGCTGCTTGTCCACAGTTGGATGGGGATCGAACATGTTTAATTAAATCGGATAAGGAGGCGCATAGGTTGGATTGAAGGAATAACCTTCGGTACCCAGAAGAGGCCTTGCTGGAATTCCTGCAATGGGAGCTGTGTGGTGGATCCAGCCGAAGGACTTGTGGGGTTTCTCTTGTGGAAGTCTCATTCATACGTTCTTTTTATGCCTTAGAAATTCTGCCAAGTAGACATTCAATGTATACTTGGCATACATTCTGTTAGCTTAAGTATTAAGAAGCATGTTTCTCAGGAGAATTTTGCTAATACCAAATTGTGGATGACTTCTCTTAGTGGAAACTCTACTTCTTGGGTCCCTTCTAGAATATTCACATAATGGAGGTGAGTGGGTTGGACTGTCTTGACATCAAAGTGAAATACAGGTGGTCCTCGCTTACTGTCAAGCCCCAGAGAGGACGCAGTGAGAGCCACTCGAGTTCAGATCTTTATTTGCTTACACTTTTTGGACAGAATCTGGCTGTAACCTTCTGATCTCACAGATCTATTCTGGGAGATTCTAGGCTGCGATTACCCTGAACCTCTTCCTCCTTCCCCCGTCCAGGATGCGGCTGTGCAGTCTCTAGGCTTGGGCCCCTCTGTGGAAGGGGCTGCCTCCTCCCTGGGAAGCCGGAGGTCTTCCTCCCCACTCCTCCTCCAGCTGCACTTTCCATCACACTTCCCAGGGACAAAAGGGCCTGGGAACTCTGTCCCTGAGCGACCCGGTTGTCCGGGGGGCTGATGTTGCATGGCCGTGCTGGCTCACGCATGGCATTTGTAGCAGTTCCGGTTGCCGCCATGAGACAAATCTTGCATGACTGCAGCGTCCAGCATCTGGGTGGTCACCACCTGGGATCTCCCACCGCTTCCGCATTGGATTCGCTTGCCAGAAGCCGACCATAGTAGAGGTCGCAGAGGGTGATCCCTGTGGCCCTGGGGACGCTGCAAGAGCCCCAACCCTTAGGAGGGACTGTGGGGGTCCCTCATCCAAGCACTATTTCTAGGAAACATGAATTCTGAGGGTGGGAAGAGCTGTCATTTGGGTGGAAGACAGGACCCCTATTTGGGGGCTCTTGAGGAAGGAAAATGTCTGTGTTTTTTTTTTTAATCCTTCTCCGAAGGACAAGTGTGGTCTGCCTCGAAGGGCTCTGGGGAAGGCTTTGCAGCCACAGTGTCTGCCGAGGCTCAGCCTGGAGCTCTGGCACTCTCAGCTTCCTCTCTCTCTCTCTCTCTCTCTCTCTCTCTCTCTCTCTCTCTTTCTCTCTCTCTCTTTCTCTCTCTCTCTCTCTCTTTCTCTTTCTCTCTCTCCCTCCCTCCCTCCCCCTTCTCTCTCTCTCCCTCCCTCCCTCCTTCCCCATACCCCTTCTCTCTCTCTCTTTCTCTCTCCGTCCCCCCTTCTCTCTCTTATGGGTTTCCCCCCCCCCCATTCTAGCAGTTGTGGACTGGGAAGGCCAATCCTGGGAAGGTTACTTTCTTACCCCTTGGGAAGATCAAGATCCCACACTATAGGGCAGGAGATGAGAAATGTCCATAGCAATGTTAGTATAGAAAGGATACCCTTTATATATTAGCATGCAACATTGGGATACCAATATGAAATTTGTGATATTGTGACACATGTTCTGCCATCATATCGTTGTAGTTATGTCCATTTCATACTGAATGTTTGGCAGAATAGTGAGTCAAAATAACGATACAGAAGAAATGAAATCATGGTTAAACCTCAGCATCATTTTTTTCTCCTCAACAAACCATGCATGTGATTTCATAATTCTCATCAGTCAATTCTTCTGTAATGAGAATACATATACCAGTTTTTACTTGTTGCTGGAAAGCGTAAAGAAGAAGTCTATTCAGAACTGAAACATGAATTCATGTCATGTGTTCTGGGACAACTGAGCTCTGTGGGAATTGTTCCCAGCAATATCAGTAGGTATGGCCTTGCTGTCTTTCCTTTCTCTTTGGCAGATGCCAGAGAAATGCACATTGATAGAGCAATGTAATTGGAGACTCAGAAATCAACTGGACCTTTATTCACTTAAGGACTGAACAGAAAAATTATCTTCAGTGCTCAAATAGTCAGAGATAGAAGAAGTCAGCAAATATTAACAATAGACTTGATGTCTTCCAGGAAAATGCCTTCACCGACTCCTAAAGATTTGCTATTTTGACCATATTACTAAGGAAGAAGTGGTCCAAAAAAGAGTTTCTCCTGCAAACAATATAACATTGTCGCCCTTGGAAGATTCCAAATTGCAGATCATATTTTCCACATGAAGAATAATTGAATCCTCAAGATGGCAGTGAGAGGGACCTCCCTTGATGCCAAACAACCAAGAGGATGCACTCAAAATATATGCTGAAGAACATTCATGGAAAACTTAAAGACTCTAAACATCACATGCCCCCCCTCCCTCCCTCCCTCCCTCTCTCTCTCTCTCTCTCTCACACACACACACACACGACCAGTTGCACTTTATACATTTCTGTTGCGATGGATGGGTTCGACAGACAAGCTTTAACATAATGAGAGTTCAGTTCCCATTGTTTTCAGCTGTTTCCCTGGGAAAAAACACCAAAAGACTCAACAGAGGCTACAGCGTACTTCTTTCAATAAAAAGAAATACAATTCATGCAAATATTGGAATGCATTGTGTTTATTATTATTATATTATTATAATTTTATTTCTATACCGCCCTTCTCCCGGAGGACTCAGGGCGGTGTACAGCCTATTAAAAGCACAAAGACAAACATCAATTAAAAATAATTAAAATTATTTAAATAGTTTCGGCTCAAATTTAAAACCGCCAAAATTTAAAACACCTAATTTAAAATCATTACATGGATAGCCCAGCCTGGCGGAACAGCAGGGTCTTGAGGGCACAGCGAAATACACGGAGGTCGGAGATCTTACGCATTTCCGGGGGCAGTTCATTCCACAGGGCTGGGGCTCCCACAGAGAAGGCCCTCCCCCTGGGTGTCGCCAGCCGACATAACTTGGCTGATGGCACCCTAAGGAGACCCTCTCTGTGGGAGCGGACTGGCCGGTGGGAGGCTATTGGTGGCAGAAGTCGGTCTCGAAGGTACCCAGGTCCTATGCCATGGAGCGCTTTAAAGGTGGTAACCAGCACCTTGAATCGCACTCGGAAGACCACTGGAAGCCAGTGCAGCTCACGCAGGAGGGGTGTCACGTGGGCACAACGAGTTGCGCCCATAACCTCCCGTTTATGTAGAAATGGCTTGAGTAAATTGTCGTATTTATTCAATTAAGTATCCTGTTCTCTAATAAGAGCAACTGTGGGTGGCTGGTATATTTCTAACATATCCTGTTGGAGAGTGAATTAATTCTTTATGTAAATACAGTATGTTCCATTTGGAAAAAAGGTTAATACTAATAACTTGATTTTGAGATGGTTAGGATGAACTATATAGATTTTAATCTATTACATTGACTATAGATGATAATAAATAAATAAATATGGATTGTAATAGGTTTATATAACGTTTATAGATACATATATCTGTATATATATGTCCTCAGTTTTCTTTTATTATTATTTTTTCTTTCTTTGTCTTTGTCTTTATAAAAACAAACAAACAACAAAAAAGAAACAGTGTTTAGAGTCTCTGCAGAGTGAGAACTAATTGATTAAAACCTCAATTCTTTCCAGTTGCATTTGATATATTTTTTGGTAGGTTTAGCAGTAAAAAGAAGAGTTTCTTGCTGAAATCTTTATTCGTGTGCCTATTAAATTCTTAATTTGTTGATTAAAAATGCCTTGTGCACCTTTGGCTGTTGTTATCCCGAGGCCACTGCTGTCCGTGCCGGAGTGACTGTAATTCGTTTCTCCTTTTAAGGGAGCCACGGAAGCTGGTGCTGCATCGGGGCTCCACAGGACTTGGCTTCAACATCGTGGGGGGAGAGGACGGGGAGGGGATTTTTGTCTCCTTCATCCTTGCCGGGGGGCCTGCAGACCTCAGTGGGGAGCTCAGGAAAGGAGACCGCATCATTTCGGTAAGACCCTGCAAAGGAGGATACCAGTCAGGTCTTCTTGGGCCTTGGGAGTCTTCTTCGACAAGGGTCCCCGGACCGTGCTGGGCTCTGCCTGGCAAGGAGGGCCGGGGGGAAGGCCTCTGTGACTTACCAAGAGGCAGCTTGGCCGTCTGCAAGAGGCCGGGTTGGGTTCCAAGCCGGTTGATTTGGTGACATCCACGTCCTGATGTGAGCGATGGTTCCTTTGTGTTGCTTTTCAGGTAAATGGCATGGACCTCAAAGCTGCAACCCACGAAGAGGCAGCCGCTGCCTTGAAAAACGCCGGTCAGTCCGTCACTATCGTAGCTCAATATCGTCCAGAAGGCAAGTGATTGATCAGATTAAAACCTCTTTCTCTTGGGAATCTCCTGCTCTAAGATCTTGCAATGGCAGAGAGGCTCGAAGGCTGAGAATGTTGATGACATGAGTTACAGGTAGTTTGCTTCTTAGGTGACTTTGTCAAGGCCCAAGCACAAAAAGGGTAGGGAATTGATGCAAGGTGCCAGGAAGAGGTCACACTCGGGGGCGCGGGAGAGCTGCCCCTCTGAAGCAGCACCCTCTGATGGGATCTGGGAAAGGGGCTCCCCCTGTGCCCCCCACCCCACCCCCTCCGGCATTCCAATGGCTCTGAACCTCTTAGTCCTTGGCAGGCCTGGCTCACCCCCTCACCTATGGGTTCAGATACGCCTCTTCGTTATCCCCAGCCTCACGTGCATTTTCCTTACGTGTCACCTTTTGCTTTCTTGTGTTGTTTTCCTTTTCTTCCTTTTAAAAAAACCCACCCAGAGTCGCAAACTGTGATTAGCCGGTTTGCAATATTTTAAAAACAAAACACCTAATAACATATTCCAGCTTCATTCTGGGATATTCTTCAGAATGGGAATCTGGCCCTGTGGGAAATGACCCTGCATTGCCTAGTCTAGTCCTCAGTTAGTGACAGTGAGTGGAGCCAAAATTTATGTCAATAAGCACTCTGGTTGTAAGACCTGTTGTCATTTGACCACATTTCTTAACGATGGCAATCCGTTGAGAAGTGAGAATCATAGGTCATTAAGCGAGTTCCTGGTGGCTTGCAGGCAGGTAGGGCACGAGGCGTGGCATGAGCACAGTGGGCCGGGGGTGGCTGCTGCTGCTGGGCGGGGGAGGGTGCAAGGCAGTGGTGAAATGTAAAATTTGTTACTAACGATTCTGTGGGCGTGGCTTGGTGGGTGGGCATGGCCAACTTTTTTTTTTCCTTTTAAAACCATTTTTTCTACAATCTCTCCGGCTGAAGAGGAGGTAAAAAAAAATGCTTTTAAAAGCCTCTGACGATCCCAGCTGAGTTGCCTGATCGGCAGAGGCTTTTTTTTCTTTTAAAACCATTTTTTCTACAACCTCTCCGGCTGAAGAGGTTGTAAAAAAAAATGCTTTTAAAAGCCTCTGACGATCCCAGCTGAGCTGCATGATCATCAGAGGCTTTTTTTTAACTTTTAAAAGCATTTTTTTGGCTGAAGAAGTTGTAGAAAAAAATAATTTAAAAAAAAAAGCCTCTGATGATTGCGCGGCTCAGCTGGGCATGGGGGGGCAGGGATGTTTGCTACCGGTTCTCCGAACCACCTGCCGCCATCGCTACCAGATTGGGCGATCCGGTCCGAACCGGGAGCATTTCACCCTGGTGCAAGGGACTGACCAGAACAACTGGCCACCTTCCCTGCCAGCTTCCCCTTGGACTTTGCTAGTGGGAAGCCGGCAGGAGGAATTGCAAATGGCTGTCACATGACCGTGGGGCACTGCGACTGTCATAAGTGTGAACCAGTTGTTAGATGCCCATATCACAATCACGTGCGGGGTTGCTGGGGTGGGTGGAAATTCGAGGACCAGTTATAAGTATCACTCGTTCAGCACTGTCATAACTTTGAATGCTAAACTGGTGGCCATTAAACAAGGACCTTGGTCAAAATTCCTTGGCTGACAGGGTCCGCAGCATGCCCTTTCTGGTGGGGGCGCACAGGCCAGTCCCATTGGCGGGTGGGGAAGCGCTTCTTCAGGTAGCCTGGACCTCTGTCATACAGGGCCTCCAAGGCTAGAATCCACATCTTGGGTTGCACCTGGAAGCTGATCGGCAACTGGTGCCATTTGCGCAGCGGTGGTGTTCCTTGGGCCATCCTGGCGGCCCCTAAAACTGTCTGTGCCAGCTGTAGCTTCTGAAAAGTCTTGAAGGTTAGCCCCATGGAGAGCGCATTGCTGTAGTCCAAACACAAGATGACAGAACGCAGGGAGGGCCCAGAGCCTATGCTCATTCCCAGCCCTGGATTGTTTTGGCACTGGCTTTATTGTTAATTGAATCTGTTAATCTGTTGTTTAACTGCTTTTAACAATTTATGATTTTGTTTTCAAATTTTCTTAACTAAATGCTCCCCAGAGCAAGAGTAGGCTTCGATCAAACAGATAGATAATCCATGTTTTATTCCGTCAAATTTCTGGAGTAAATGTGTGTAGCCTTGCAGTGTCACCCTGTGTTTGTGTGTCTGCATGAGCAAGAGAGAGAAAAATGAGTTGTTCCACATTGTTTTTGAAATCAAAATCAATTGGGGGGTGGAGAGGGAAGGATATGTGTTTAAAGAACACTGGATTAATGGTGGAGTTGTTTCCAAAAGTCTAGGTGGGCGTAAGATTTGGGGCGATCAAAAACCTGATATTCTGCAGCAATGGCATTTGTGGAACTGACCAGCATTTCCCTTTTCCTCAGAATATGGCCGTTTTGAAGCCAAAATACACGACTTGCGAGAGCAGATGATGAGCAGCAGCATGAGCTCAGGATCTGGCTCTCTGCGGACCAGCCAGAAACGGTCCCTCTATGTCAGGTGAGGCTTCGGGGGCTGTTGAGGGGCCTGGCTTTGTTGCTGACCCCATTGTCTCTTGAAAGATGACACTATCTGACGGACAGCTGAGAGGCTTTGGAGCCTGGCAGCCCTAGCTAACTTGGTTTGGCAGGATAGGCCTGGATATTTGAGGCTCCCCGGTACTACTGTATCTCTCCCTCCTGAATGTCATGAAACCTGATCCATCAGGGGTCATTCTGCTTGGCTTGGCCATCTGCAGACACCCCCCCCCCCTTTTTTCTTCTCCAGATGTTCTCATCTGGGCCTCCCCCCCCCCCTCCTCCTCCTCCTCCTCCTCCTCCTCCTCCTCCTCCTCCTCCTCCTCCTCCTCCTCCTCCTCCTCCTCCTCCTCCTCCTCCTCGGGTCTCAAGACATGAGGAGCCTTCCTTCACCCAGCATTCGCCCCGGCTGCACTGTTTCGGGATCAGCTCTTCAGCCTCTGCATTTCATTTAAGAGTTTCATCCACCCCGTCTCAGTAACACCCATTAAGCCGTATTTGCTTCTCTACATTAAGGTGCCTTTCTGTAGGTTTCTCACACTCTGTGATTTGGCATGGCAAGACTCAAAGTCTTGGCTCATTAACTTGAGCAACTGGTACAACTGTAGAAGCAAAGCAGAATATATTCGTACTGCAGGAAGAATATGGGACTTATCATTTTTTAGGGTGCTGAAATCGCAGCTTAATGCAGCAGCCCCTCCCCCAGCTGATGATGCACCATCAAGCTTCGTCATGCATGTCCGTTGCCCACCACTGTGTTTGGAGCAGTTAATTGGTTTTCTCCGGGGGGATGCAAAGGTCTTCCTTGGGAATCTTGTCCTCCCCACCAGAATTGCTGGCTTTTTCCTTCCGATTCTGTCCCCTGGCTACCTGTTTTCTCTTTTCTCCCCTTTATCTGCAGAGCCCTCTTTGACTACGACAAGACTAAAGACAGTGGCCTCCCCAGCCAGGGGCTGAACTTCCGCTTTGGCAACATCCTCCACGTCATCAACGCCTCGGATGATGAATGGTGGCAGGCACGACTGGTGATGCCAGGCGGGGAGAGTGACCAGGTTGGCGTCATTCCCAGCAAACGCAGGTAGCTGTCTCGCACGGCGGCTTGAGGCCTGCCAGGAAAGGGGTTGTGGGAGAGAGGAGCCCCATTTAGGATTGGCTGCTTTTTTATCAGGCTGTCTGTGCGAACTGTTGGTTGGCGTCCAGAGGGGCTTCAGAGATAGTCCAATCACATGGCGGCAGGGAGCAGGATGCAGGAACAGGAACAGCGTATGCTTTATTGCTGTTCTAGACAGGAATCTTGCCAGACTAAAGCACACTCTATATAGCAATCACACAAATCCTGTGAAGTTTTTTTTAAATAAAAAGTTTTTTATTTTTATTTTTCATCAACATATTTAAATGTACAGTCTCTTATCCATCATTAATCATTATTCATTCATCTTATCTTTTTACTTTCATTTGTTAATTGTTCGGGCCTGCTCTTTTACCATTTCCTCTCCTTTATTTTACCACAACCTTTCCTCTTCCTCTTCCCTTCTCTTCCTTCTTCTATCTCTTTCTACTTTCCTCATTCCTCCTCTCCTTCCCTTTTCTACTTCCTCTCCCCTTTCCCCACTTCTCTCTTCTTCCTCCCTTTCTAACCCTCTCTCCTACTCTTCTTTCCCCTCCCTTTTCTTCCTCTCCTTTTTCCTCTCTTCTATCCATCTCTCTCCTTTCCTCCCTACTCCCCTCCTTCCCTCTCTCCTTTTCCTCCCTACTCCTCTCTCCTTTTACACTCCCTTGTTGTTTCCATGGTATGGTATGGAGTATTAAGATGCTAATCGAGCAGCCCTGATTTTCTATTTATATACATCTTCATTTCAAATTCTTTTTTGTTTTATAATTACATCTCTTCTATCATTCCTGTACATTATTACTCAATCCGTGTATTATGTGGGTACAACATTTTTGTGCCATCATCTTCAACATTTATCATCATTTTCTTAATGTATACATTTATCTTTCCTCTTACATTTAATTTTAATGACACTACAACATATTCTTATCTATATTCACTTTCTATCCATTGATAAAATGGATAGAAATCCATACAATATATGGATTTCCCCCATATATTGTAATACTCCGACTCCCAATGCCAATGTCAATCTATTCATTTCTGCACATTCCAATATTTTCTTAATTACCTCTCCCTTTGTAGGAATTTTGTGCAAATACCATTTTTGCCGCCTTTATTAGATGTATTATCAAATATATATATTTTTTACTATTCTTCTCTGATAGGATACCCAACAGGAACAATTCTGGTTTTAAATCAATATGTTGCTGTATCATTTGTTCTAACCATATTTTAATTTTTTCCCAATAATTTCTCGCTTCTGGACATGTCCACCACATATGATAATACGATCCCGGTATCTGATGGCATTTCCAACATTTAGCTAATTTATCTTTAAACATTTTTGCCAGTCTTTCTGGTGACATGTGCCATCTATAAAACATTTTATACAAAGTCTCTTTATATGCTGTGGCCATTGTTAATTTATAATTTCTTTCCCATAATTGCTACCATTTATCTAACTCAATTGTATAACCAACATTTTTTGCCCATTGATTCTTTAACTTGTTCTTCTTCCAAGTTTACTCCAAGTAAATGACTATATAATTTCCTAATAGTTTTTTCATATGTTGCTGTGAGTATTTCATCCAATACTGTCATTTCCAAATAAAAACCATATAGCTTTGCATCTTTTTCATATCTCGATTGTATTTGCAGCTGAGTATACCACTCCATTTCAATCCCTTGTTCATCTAGTTCTTGTTTCGTTTTCAATTCCCCTGTTGCTGATAAAATATCTTTATATCTTACAATGTTTCCCATATTAATAATATTTGGATGTACTAATCCTTCCATTGTTGAAAGCCATGTTGGTATTTTCAAATAATTTTTTCCTCTCCTCTCCCATACTAATAATAACGCATTTCTTACATATTCATTGGCATCCTTCAATCTCAAGAGACTATGGTATTGTGCTCTGGAAAGAGATCCTAAAAAAGCATCTAGTGTGACTAAAAAGGCCAATTCGAGAGTGGCCATCCCTTCCACACTGAGGGCAGATACATTCTATCCCCTGCCCAGCCCCCAGATTTTGCTGGTTCCGGGACTGCCTTTTTGCCTCAGCCTGCCGAACAAGTTTCTCTTCGAATTGGAGAAGGCCATGCTGCGTCTTTAGCCTCCAAGCTGAACGATCAGAGGTCAAGGTTTCCCAGTTGTTAATGTCCATTCCCAGGGCCTTTAGGTCCCTCTTGCAGATATCCTTATATCGCAGCTGTGGTCTTCCTCTGAGGCGCTTTTCCTGCACTAATTCTCCATACAGGAGATTTTGGAATCCGACGATCAGCCATTCTCATGACATGCCCCAGCCAGCGTAGATGTCGCTGTTTCAATAGTGTATACATGCTAGAAATTCCAGCACGTTCCAAGACTGCGCTATTTGGAACTTTGTCCTGCCAGGTGATGCCAAGAATTCGTCGGAGATAGCGCATATGAAAGGTGTTTGTAATACCTTTGAAAATAACTATACATCTTATTTTTCCCATACCATAAAAAAGCGTGCCAACCCAATTGTAAGTCGTGCCCCTCCAAAGTTAGTAATACTCCTCCTCTTAGTCTTGCATCTTGTAACATTTTCATATTAATTCTCACCTTTTTTCCCTAGTCTAGGTAATATGTTCATCTTAACTACTGCTATTCTTCCCATTAATGATAATTACAGTTTTCCCCATCTTTCCAGGTCCATTTCAATTTGTCCTTTCAATTTGTAATAATTATCATTTTTAATCGTTGCACACCTTGCTGTTAATTGTATTCCTAAATACCTTACTTTTTTGGTAATCTGAATATCTAGTTTCTCTATTAAGTCTCTTTTCTGTTTATCTGTGATATTTTTCACCAATATCTTTGTTTTATTTTTGTTAATTTTCAATCTTGCCACCTCTTCATATTCCTCTATTTGTTCTATCAGTTTGGGTCCTATTTCTAATGGCTCCTCTAAAATAAATACTAGATCATCTGCAAATGCTTGCAGTTTATACTCTTCTTTTTTTAATTCTTATCCCTTTTATCTCTTCATTTTGTCTTATATTTCTATTTAACACCTCCAATGTCAACACAAAGAACAAGGGGGATAGAGGATATCCCTGCCTTGTTCCTTTCATGATATTAACTTTCTCTGTCATATCTCCATTTATTATCACCTTTGAAGATTGTTTGCTATAAATTATCTCAATCATATTTATAAATCTTCCCCCAAAGTCCATAGTCTGTAGTTGTTTTGTCATAAATTGCCAATTCATATTGTCAAAGGCCTTTTGTGCGTCAAGAAACATCAATACCATTTGCTTTTCTGGGTGTGCTTTATAATATTCCAAAGTGTTCAAAGTCATCCTCATATTGTCTCTAATTTGTCTCTTTGATTTTGATCTGCATGTATGAAATCATTTAACAATCTCTTCAATCTATTCGCCATTATTGATGCCAATCTTTTATAATCCGCATTTAACAAAGAAATCGGTCTATAGTTTTTAACATTGTAAATCTGTACCTTCTTTTAGTATAAGAGTAATATATGCCTCCATCCAAGAGTCAGGTATTTTTGCATTCACTAAAAGATCATTAAATACTTCCAACATTGTATTGCTAATTACATCCTGAAAAGTTTTATACAGTTGGTAACCCATCTGAACCTGGTGTTTTACCATTCTTTTGTTTTTTAATCCCCTCTATTACTTCCATCATCGTTATCCTTCCCTCCAAGGCCTTCTTGTATTTTTCTGGTATTTTTGGTAAATCAGACTTTTCTAAATATTGTATAATCTTCTCTTCTGGTATTGTCTCTTATTTCTGTACCACTTTTTTCTTTTCTTCATTTCAATAACATAGCTGTCCTTCTTCATCCATTAATTGATTAATTAGTTTTTTTCCCTTCTCCTTTTTCATTTTGTATGCCAGCCATCTGCCTGGCTTATTAGCATTTTCAAAAAAGTTTTGTTTAGATATCTTTATTTTATAAGCCAAATCCTTTTTTTCAATTAAGTTCATTTCATGTTTTTTTAAATCCATTTGATTTTTAATCCTCTTATTTTGCGTGTCTTTTTGTAATTCTATCTCCAATTTCTTGTATTCTTCCTCCAGTTTTTTTTTTTTTGCATTTGTCTTTTCTTTTTGTTTCTTTTTCCCAGGTAAATCATTGCCAACCCTCGAATATATGCTTTTACTGTATCCCACACATTTTGCAATGATGTGTCTTCCTTTTTATTTTCCTTGAAGAAGAAAACCAATTCTTTCTCCACAAATAGTTGAAACTCTTTTTCATTTAATATTGTTTGATTCAAAGTCCATCTTGATCTCTTTCTTTTGCCCTTCCATGTAATTATAATCAGATTATGGTCAGCCCAAATGCTTGCTTCAATGTTTATATCTTGTACATTAGCTAATAAATCAATTGACATCCACATCATATCTATTCTGGACCATGACCTATGTCTATTTGAATAAAAGATATACTGTTTTTCTTTCAAATGTCTTTCTCTCCAGGCATCTTGAATGCCTAGTTACTCTATCATTATAAAAAAAGCCTTTGGGAGCATTTTTCTAGATTTTTTTATTGACTTTTGTCGTCTTATAGTCCCACTCAACTTCCCTTATCGCATTGAAGTCTCCCATTATACAAATATTGTCATACTCAAATTCTATTATTTTCCTGTGCAATTTTCCATAAAATTCTTCTTGCTTGTTCTTTGGAGCATATATCGCCACCAAGAGTATTTGTTTATAGTTCATTGTTACTTCCACCATAAGGATCCTCCCTTCTTCATCAGCAAATATTTGTTTGGGTTCTAATTTCTTTTTAATATATAATATTATACCTCTTTTACTTTGATGTGTTAATGCAGTAAATAGTACACCCAATTTTGAATACTCCAATAATTTTTTGTGTTGCTTTCTAATATGAACTTGAAAACATACTATGTCCATTTTTAGTTTTCCCAATTTATTAAGAGTTCTTTTCTTTTTTATTA